AACCAGCAACAATCACCCCTTCCTCTTCTCATCGAAGACATGCGCTGCAGTCCTAAACAGGCTCTCGCTGTCGGTGCTTGTAATGATTTTTGCGTCTTTCTCCGACAGTTTAAATGCTTCCACACTGCTGACGTGTGTGTTGCATTATAAACAGTGCGCGCCTCTCACTCTGCGCTGGTTGCTATTTGATCGCGTCATATCATTTTTCGGTACAATTTATTCGGTCTTTTCGCTTATTCGGCCGAACACCGAAAGAGCTTTTTTTTGCTATTTTCAGCCGAATAATTTCGGTTTGCCGAACATTCGGTGCATCCCTATTATCAATCTTTCATCCGCTTCTCTCCATCTTCCAGGGACATTATGATAGACAACATGATAGATGGTCCAATCATAAATAATAGAGGTCAGGTTTTGCCGATTTATCGGTACCGATAACTGATTGCTAGAGCAGCCAGTTATCGGTAAAATCCATACCGATAGTTTACTCCTCGTGGAGTTAAAAAAAAAAAGTGTTTGTATTTGTATGAAATGGTAACACTTTACGATAAAGCCCCGTTCACACCAAGAACGATAACTATAAAGATAACGATATTAGCGTCCACACCAGCGAACGATATCGTCTGTTTATTCTAAGCGCACATGCGTCTGCTGCTTTAAATTCTTGAGCTCGTTACAGCAGGATGGATTCTGATTGGCTGTCAGTGTTTATCGTTCATCAGCTGGGAAAAAAATCGTTTTGAAAGTGATCACAACGATATCGTTCCTCTGTATCGTTATCGTTATAGTTGTGGTGTGAACTATGCTATTCTTTAATATTGAGAATGATTTTTAGAACTATATCTTTATCGTTATCGTGCTTGGTGTGAACGGGCCTTTAGAGTCCATTTCTAATGTAAACTAAAGTTACGAAATGCTGTAGAAGTGTTATTCATCATTGTTAGTTTCAACATTTGCTAATACATTTTTGCATTAAGTTGTATCTTTTAACAGTAGTTAATGGACTATGAACTAACATGAATGATCAAGGTACAATTAGCCTAATATATTAATGTTTAATATTAATATTTATTTAATTTAAAAAGTACAGTACATTTTCCGGGTTCTGTTCTGTTCAGTTTTTTGCAATAAAGTTCAGCATTATTTTACTTGTAGTATTAGGCCTATGGTTTTTGTTTTGATTTCATCCGTTTTCAAAAATGTAGATTGATTTGATCAGTTATCGGTCAGTGTGGTCCAATCCACTATCAGTCGACCTCCAGTAAATACAATTTTAATGTCATTCGACATGAGATATGTCAAAAGACAACAACTTTTTCATTTGAATTGAAACCCTGCCTTTCATTTTAAAGAGCCAATCACCTTTTTTGTCAGTTTGTTACTTTTGAATGTGAGTGTTTATCTTTGAATGTATCGTTTGAGCACATGAGACAGAGTTGCTACAATTGTTACATTTTATTCCTGATTTAAATGTAGCTGACAAAATTGACGTTTTTAGAAGGTTTGACTTTATAAAAGCCATGTCAAAAGTCCATCACTGGCCGGACGTGAATAAAAAGGACTTTAGTAATGCCTGCTCTTCACTAGTTTCGTCTAGTTTATTCGTGATTTTGTTGTTTTTTGTTTGTTCTCATTGAAGAATCGTGTTTGGATGTTCGGTTTGGAATCGTTTGATCAAACATGTGTCTGTCCTTCAAAGAGCCGCTCTTCCGTTCGGAGTGTCCCGATGCTCCTGTGTGCTTTTCCCTGTGAATGAGAGATCGCATTTACAAACACTGGATGCGGAGAGGAACTGGCCGTTGTTATAGCAACAGGCTGCAGGGCAAATCTGCCCACACACTCGTTTGTGTGTGTGTGTGTGTGCGCGTGCGAGCGTGCGTGAGTGTGTGTGTGTGTGTCCTGCATTACTACCACTATGGCAGCTTCATCACAAACGCTCTTCTGAATGGAGACGTTTTTCATCAGCATGCATTCACACGCTTCAGTAAATTCAGTACAAGGGTGAAAATCAGAGAAATAATACTTTGCAATAAAAAAATGAAGCTTTTTTGTGGCATTGTGGCAGTTTTTTGACAAATTATGCCATTTGGTTGTGAAATTTGTTTCATTTGGAATTATTAGATTGTTGCATCCCTCTGTAGCGTGATTCTAACATGCATGTGAATTAGAGCTGCACGATTATGACAAAAATCATTGTCGATTATTCCCTTGAAATTGTAATTGCGATTATTAATTACAATTATCACAATTTACATTGAATGATGTTTATACCATTGTTTGATGCAACTGCATGCCGTATTTTTATATGAAAATAAACAAGCTGAAAACACTCTATCTGAAAACCTTTAGTGCTTTTCTATAGTATTAAGCCTTCAAATGTCAAATATACATCGGATTGGTTTCATCTTTGAATTATAAAAAAAGTCAAATATGAATGGTGTTATAATGTAAAACTAAAACAATGGAAAACCCCTTAAGATAACATGTAGAAAGAAAAAAAACATCTTAAGCGTGCAGAATAACATAAGTGGACTTTGAACGATTAATTTCCTCTTTGAACGATTACGTAATTGTGGCATCTATAATTGTAATTGCGATTAGAAATTCGATTAATTGTGAGTTCATGCTGGTTCTCTCTTGATCTGAAGGTACACTCTAAAAAAATGCTGGGTTAGATATAACCCAGCGCTGGGTTAAAAATGGACAAACCCAGCGGTTGGGTTGCTTTGACCCAGCGGTTGGGTTGCTTTGACCCAGAGGTTGGGTTGCTTTGACCCAGAGGTTGGGTTGCTTTGACCCAGCAGCTGGGAAAAAAATCGTTTTGAAAGTGATCACAACGATATCGTTCCTCTGTATCGTTATCGTTATAGTTGTGGTGTGAACTATGCTATTCTTTAATATTGAGAATGATTTTTAGAACTATATCTTTATCGTTATCGTGCTTGGTGTGAACGGGCCTTTAGAGTCCATTTCTAATGTAAACTAAAGTTACGAAATGCTGTAGAAGTGTTATTCATCATTGTTAGTTTCAACATTTGCTAATACATTTTTGCATTAAGTTGTATCTTTTAACAGTAGTTAATGGACTATGAACTAACATGAATGATCAAGGTACAATTAGCCTAATATATTAATGTTTAATATTAATATTTATTTAATTTAAAAAGTACAGTACATTTTCCGGGTTCTGTTCTGTTCAGTTTTTTGCAATAAAGTTCAGCATTATTTTACTTGTAGTATTAGGCCTATGGTTTTTGTTTTGATTTCATCCGTTTTCAAAAATGTAGATTGATTTGATCAGTTATCGGTCAGTGTGGTCCAATCCACTATCAGTCGACTCCAGTAAATACAATTTTAATGTCATTCGACATGAGATATGTCAAAAGACAACAACTTTTTCATTTGAATTGAAACCCTGCCTTTCATTTTAAAGAGCCAATCACCTTTTTTGTCAGTTTGTTACTTTTGAATGTGAGTGTTTATCTTTGAATGTATCGTTTGAGCACATGAGACAGAGTTGCTACAATTGTTACATTTTATTCCTGATTTAAATGTAGCTGACAAAATTGACGTTTTTAGAAGGTTTGACTTTATAAAAGCCATGTCAAAAGTCCATCACTGGCCGGACGTGAATAAAAAGGACTTTAGTAATGCCTGCTCTTCACTAGTTTCGTCTAGTTTATTCGTGATTTTGTTGTTTTTTGTTTGTTCTCATTGAAGAATCGTGTTTGGATGTTCGGTTTGGAATCGTTTGATCAAACATGTGTCTGTCCTTCAAAGAGCCGCTCTTCCGTTCGGAGTGTCCCGATGCTCCTGTGTGCTTTTCCCTGTGAATGAGAGCTCGCATTTACAAACACTGGATGCGGAGAGGAACTGGCCGTTGTTATAGCAACAGGCTGCAGGGCAAATCTGCCCACACACTCGTTTGTGTGTGTGTGTGTGTGCGCGTGCGAGCGTGCGTGAGTGTGTGTGTGTGTGTCCTGCATTACTACCACTATGGCAGCTTCATCACAAACGCTCTTCTGAATGGAGACGTTTTTCATCAGCATGCATTCACACGCTTCAGTAAATTCAGTACAAGGGTGAAAATCAGAGAAATAATACTTTGCAATAAAAAAATGAAGCTTTTTTGTGGCATTGTGGCAGTTTTTTGACAAATTATGCCATTTGGTTGTGAAATTTGTTTCATTTGGAATTATTAGATTGTTGCATCCCTCTGTAGCGTGATTCTAACATGCATGTGAATTAGAGCTGCACGATTATGACAAAAATCATTGTCGATTATTCCCTTGAAATTGTAATTGCGATTATTAATTACGATTATCACAATTTACATTGAATGATGTTTATACCATTGTTTGATGCAACTGCATGCCGTATTTTTATATGAAAATAAACAAGCTGAAAACACTCTATCTGAAAACCTTTAGTGCTTTTCTATAGTATTAAGCCTTCAAATGTCAAATATACATCGGATTGGTTTCTTCTTTGAATTATAAAAAAAAGTCAAATATGAATGGTATTATAATGTAAAACTAAAACAATGGAAAACCCCTTAAGATAACATGTAGGAAGAAAAAAACACATCTTAAGCGTGCAGAATAACATAAGTGGACTTTGAACGATTAATTTCCTCTTTGAACGATTACGTAATTGTGGCATCCATAATTGTAATCGCGATTAGAAATTCGATTAATTGTGAGTTCATGCTGGTTCTCTCTTGATCTGAAGGTACACTCTAAAAAAATGCTGGGTTAAATATAACCCAGCGCTGGGTTAAAAAGGGACAAACCCAGCGGTTGGGTTGCTTTGACCCAGCGGTTGGGTCGCTGGTGGGTTGCTTTGACCCAGCGGTTTGGTTGCTTTGACCCAGCGGTTTGGTTGCTTTGACCCAGCGGTTGGGTTGCTTTGACCCAGCGGTTGGGTTGCTTTGACCCAGCATTTTTAAGAGTGTAATGATGGTCATTTTCTGACTGTGATGATCGTGTGTTTCTGTGTTTCAGGGAAATCCTCCTTGACAATACAGTTTGTGGAAGGCCAGTTTGTCGACTCCTACGACCCCACGATTGAAAACAGTAAGTGAATCAGATCACGTCCTACTGTAAAATGAATCCTAATCATCATAATGTAGGGTTGAGACTTAATCTGTGAAGTGATCAAAGGGCCATAGATAACATGCATTTCTATTGTAGCTACTTATGACTAGTCTGCTCCGATTTGTAGACATTATGAATCAGTTCTGTGATTGTGACTCACTGAATCATTCGGTTACTCATCATCTGACTCACTGAACTGCGAGTCATTCAGTCATATCTGATTCAATATGTGTAACATTTCAGATCTAAATAATTACTGACTAGTTGTTCATCTATAACTTGACATGTAGCTTAAGTTGAATGTCCATCGTGGAGTTTTGTTGTAGTAAATGTTGTGATTTAATATAGTTTAGATCAATTATGTGATGATGATGCTTCCTCACAAGTACTACATGAATAATGCAGTTGTTAAGAAAATCAGAATTAAGTGGAATCAGAATTGTCGAACTTAAAAATTAAGCATAAAATCACTATTAGCAGAAAATAGGAGTAAGTGGTAGCATTTTTGAATTATTATTAATGGTAGTATTTTTTTCAAATGCTTTTAGGATGTAACTGCTGTTATCTTTTATTTATTTAGCTTTCATCATTAGGGACATTTGTCTTTATTTATTTATTTATCTCTGTAAATTTAAATCCACTGTACTGTCATTAGCTTAGGATGGGATATTCTTAAAGGGGCGGGTCATAACACAGCTGGAACAGACTGAGTCGACTCGTGGGGCGGAGCTTGAGCTAAGTGGGCGGGGCTTGAGGTGGATTTTTGATCTGGTGTCTTTTATTTATTTTTTCAGCGTTTACGAAAATGATCACCGTGAACGGTCAGGAGTATCACCTGCAGCTGGTGGACACAGCAGGACAGGTGAGAAACACGACACTGAGTTCATGTTTAAATGTTGTTTTTAACAAAAAATACTTTACAGCAATATCAAACGTTCAGGAGCCCAATACAGTATACAGTAATAAAATGCAGGATTCTGAAACGCATTTTAATGCAGAAATGAATTAAGGCCATGAACCTTCGACACAGCTAGACACAGCTGCAGTGGTGTTGTTTTTAAATAAAATTACAAAAATTAAATAATTAAAAATAGTTTTAGTTCATTGAAATAATGATGAAATAAAATATAAATATTAGATGACAAACTTAAACTTAAAAAAAAAAAAAAAACTGAATTTAACCAAAATAAAACAAGTTTAATTTGATGTATTAAAATTAATGGAACTGAAATAAGAATGAATTAAAAAGCTAGATAAAAATATTAAAATGTAAACATAATAAAATGATAAAAATTATAACTAAAATTAAAAAAATTAAATCATTAAAAAGTTTGTTCATTGAAATAAAGTTACTTACTTAACAAAAAAAATACTGAAAATTTAAAAAACAAGTTTAATTTGAACAAACACAACATAATAAAATTCAAAAAATGTAAACTAAAATTAAAATGTAAAATCTAATTCAAAATGTTTATTAATACTAAATAATACTGAAATAACACTGCACAGATGGCAAATGTTCTTCTAGAAACATCATGTCATGAATTCTTCGAATGGAATTTTGGTCTGATCTCTCTGAAGTGTGTTTTGAATTCCTCTCTTTCAGGACGAATACTCTATTTTCCCGCAGACGTACTCTATAGATATCAACGGCTACATTCTGGTGTATTCAGTCACCTCCAATAAAAGGTGAGAGATGCTGATGCTTGATCATTTCTCAGGCTGATAAATGACGGAAATCTGCTGCTGATGACTGCCAGAATATGGTTTATGAATAAAACATCGCATCAGAATGATTTCTCATTAGTTTGAGACATGACGTCTTATTTCTAGAAGATCTCAGCTCGCTCACGGAGTTATTAAATAAGATCAGATCTGATGTTCTGGACATTAGTCGTGGTTTTGTTTCTGGTGAAGCACAGATGCATCGGTTTAGTTTTTTCTTGCTTAGGTCTTTTATTGCTTTATGGATGATGCAATAAGCCACGAGATGTTTTACAGTGATTTTATCCTCTGATTAATCATCTCCGCCTGTTTTATTCTCATTTTTAAATAACTGATAGTCTTCTGATCTGTCTCCCTCTTTTTTGCAGTTTTGAAGTAGTAAAAGTTATCCATGAAAAGTTGTTGGATATGGTGGGAAAAGTACAGTAAGTATATATTTAGTCTTAATTTAGCTTTTGCAAAGTTCAGTTTTTATATATATATATATATATATATATATATATATATATATGGTTTAGTTAGATAGCTTTAGATAGGTTTTGGTTGGGTGCATATTTATAATTCTGATCATTGAGAGCAGACGACATTACGTAAGACACATGTGAAGCTGACTGATAAAGTCTGGACGGCATCTCGAACCTTTCATCTGCCCGCGCTCTCAGTGCTGTCTTCCATTAACATCGAAACCTTCAGGGTTAATAAACTCTTTCCACACTGCTGTTTACCACATTTATCATGTGACGAGGCATAACGTGAGCCTCGGAGAGGAGTTTGGTTATTCCTGGACTGCAGCCTAACGATACACGCACACTCATACTCACACTCTCTCTCACACTCACACTCACTCGCTCACACACACACACTCACACTCTCTCGCTCACACACAATTTAAATTAAATTAATTTTATTTTTTATGTAATTAAAAAAAATGATACCAGTTAACATTTTATTTCACGTAATTTTTTTTATGTTTTTAGTTTTTTTTTGCTGAAGTGGCATCAGTGTAAGTCAGTGATGAATGGATCCCGATCGTGATGTTTTCGTGTGTGTGTTCGCAGACGGCCGTGGAGGTGTTCAAGAGGATAATCCTGGAGGCGGAGAAGATAGACGGCGGCGCTCCTCAGGGCCGGACATCCTGCTCCATGATGTAGATAACCCCGCCCCCTCCCTGCCCTGACTCCGCCCCCTGCAGCCCCGTCCCCGCCCCTCTCCCACAGTCTGCCCCGCCCACCCGAGAACCAGCACAAACTTTTCTAGCAAGCATGTTTGGGCTTGGTTTGTGTTTTCTGGTCTAGTTCTAGGATTAACAGATGTGAACGGGGTTCGAGACATTGATTGCTAGAAAAGTCTGTTTCCAGCCCCTCCTGCAGCACTGGACGCTGGACGCTGGGAAACCAGTCCCTCTACTTGAAGTGGCTAACTGCCTGTTTCCATAGACATGTCTGCTTTTTCTTTTAAACCTTTTTTTATACTTCATTTGACTTAATTTTTTTAGTTGTGTGATATTTTCCTGAATAACTCACACACACACTCGTCTGCGTCTCGCTCGTCTCTAGCGCTCATCCTCCTCTCTGTTCCCCGAGCCCTCTGGAGTTTGTAAATCCTGTTTCTTAAACGTAATTATGGCCAATAAAGTTGGCAGCATTCATTCTGTTGTTGGACTTTTTTGATTGTAATCATTAAACGCAGCGTTTTGTTTCACTATCTCTCGAGTCGCTTGCTGTGATTTATAGAAATATGAACTCAAGGCTGTTATTAATTGCACACATACACTGACAAAAATGTGTTCCTAATGAGAAAATACTTTTAGATTAATATATATATATTTTTAAATCATTAATATTTTAACACAAAGGTTTTTTGATGCCAAAAAAATAGAGAAATAAAAATCTCATGCTCAATTTAAATAACGCATAATGTTTACTTTAAATTAATGAGGTTTTGGATATATATATATAGAATATGCTTAATGTAACTTTTTATAATTATGTAAAATTTTGCATTACAGTGATGGCCTCATTTTCATTTAAAGTTGAATTCCTTAAATGCATGAAGCTAAAACTGAAATAAAAATGAAGAACTTTTATAGAAATATTTTATTTAAAATAATAAAAATGACAAAAACCACAACAATGCTATTAAAACTAAATTAGAAAAAAATTCAGATAGACAATATTAAAGTCAAAAATAATTTTGCTAAATTATAAATTTGCAAAAAAAAAAAATTCTATAACATTTCTGAATTTAATTTAGTTTAAGTTGATTTCCCAAATTCAAAATAAAAGTGAATAAAAACTACAAAAAAATTTATAATAAAAATGGCAAAAACACAACAAAATGACAAAAAAAACCCCATTAAAATACAAATGAAAACTATAAAAAATAAAAAAAACTAATTTAATATATTAATAAACTATAATATCATATGAAAAAGTTTTATCAGGGTTATATAAACTCATCCATCTCTGTTAAGCCTAATTCAAATATGAACTTTTTTTTAGAAATCCATTTAAAATATTCCAGGTATTTCTTTATTTTCTATTTGAATCAGAATGTTTCAGACTAAACGTGTTTTCTGGTGAATATCGTTTTAGTCTTTTATTAAATCCCTTGAACCAACAGAAGCCATTTCCTGAATGACATCATCCTGCAGGAAGTGACATCGTTCTGGAGGGAAACGGCACAAGCGTCAGTAAGCCTCGGTGGATCTGATGCATTCTGGGATGTTTTGTGACGTTCGGTGGTTTGTGTTGCTCTAGGAACGTTCATTCTCTTTGCTCAAACAAACCATGAAGCTCAGGCGTTCAGAAGATGCTTCAAATATGCATTTATTTATTTGCAGTGAATTATACTCGGATTCATAAACGCGTTACAAGATGAATGTGATTCTGAAGAAGATTAATATTCTGATGCTGATATTCTGAGATGATCCGATTAGAAACTAATTACATGAATAATAATGAATCTGAAGTGATTCGTTAAATGTGTTCACGACTCTGACGTAAAGCGATAGTAAAATCGCAGATGATTTCTCTGTTGTTTACTGTAAGAACAAGCCGTTTATGCTTCATAAAAGCTCTTTATAGTCTGTATGTATGATTGAGTTCAGGGTTATTATTGTTAAATTAAGAAAAAAAATGTTTGAAATAAAATGTTTTTAAAAAAACGTATTTCAGCTGCAACATTTCTCGTTTTTGTTTTTCTTTGAGTTGCTTTCCGTGAGTACCTAATTGAAATAAAATCAATAAAAACTATATACACGCACAAATATACACATCAAAAATTAAAAACTAATAGAAATGACAAAAACACAACTAAATTACTACAATTAAATAAAAATAAAAACTAAATTGAAACATTAACTAAAGCAAACAAAATGTACTTGATTAGAATTAAATTAAAAATTTGAATTAAATCATTTTATTTCAGCGACAGCGTTTCTCATTTTCATTTAGTTTAAGGTGATTTCCTTAACTAGAACTACAACTGGAATAAAACTATATAAAAATATAATATAAAAAAACTAAATATGTATTTTTAACAACTAAAAAAGCTAATAAAAATTACAAAAAACAACTAATTTACTAAAACTTTAAAATGAAAATACAAATAGAATATATTTATATATATATATTTGTATTTGTGTGTATGTGTATATATATATTTGTGTATATATATATTTGTGTGTGTATATATTTGTGTGTATATATATGTATATATTTATTTGTATAAACTATTGTTAACATAAACTAATAAAATAAATTAAAAATAAATAAAAATTTCAGTTATGTATATTTCCTTAACTGAAACTGAAAGAAATATATAAACTATATAGAAATATATATATAAAAAAAATTTACACAAAAAATAATTCAAACTAAAATTAAAATACAAATAAAAATATACAAAAATCAAATCAATTCAAAATATTAATAGAAAATATATTTAGTTCACTAGTATATTAAATCAGTAACAGTGTTCTGAACAGCTGTCAGATTTGGTTCAGATCTGCTTTGATCGAGTGAGTGATGCTTGTTCGTGCTCCAGATAAAGTGTAAAACATGAAGAGTCCTCAGGAACCTCAGATATGAGAGCAGAAGAATGATCTGATGAGAATGAGACACGAGCCTCACAAAACGGCCCACAAAGTCGAGCGAAGCAGAATCTATTGCGCTCAAAGCCCAGAATCAGCAGGACGAGGAAAGCGTGGCGTCAGCAGAAGCCGAAAGCTCTTCATTGTGAGATCTTTGTGCAGCGGCTCTCGCGAGATCGTGTGGCCCGTATATATTGACCCGTCCAACTTTGGCTCTCACACTTTGGTGCGTGTGGCTGAGTTTGGACACAATCCAGTGGAGATGTCGCAGTATTCTGGAAAGGTAAGAGTGCGATCGGTCAGGACTTCAGCAGAGTTTGGGTCAGAAACCACCTTCGGTCAGCTCCATCAAACCCTTGGCCCTTGACCCTGGAGCATTTCAGGCGTATAATTAGGCTGATCTTTGACCTCTTATAGGCCCCTTCATGCTCGCAGAGTTATTTCAGTGTCACTGAGATCCTATTATATTTTTTTGTTAATATTTTATTTTTACATATATTTTTTTTGTTTTCATTTTAACCTTAGTTTTTTTGTTTCTTTTGCCATTTTTATTAGTTTTAGTTGTTTTTATTTCTGCATAATTTTTATTTATTAGTTTTAGTTTATTCATTTTATTTATTTATTTTTATATTTCGTGTTAGTTTATTGTAATGTTTACGTTTAAACTATGAAATGTTGCCTTGGCAACTAGCTGAATTTTTTTTATTTTATGATTTTTAAAAAAAAATTAATTTTAAGTTTTTTATTTTTAATATATGTACTGTCATTGTTTTTACATTACATTTACAGTTTGACAGTACATTTTTTTAATTAGATTTTAAAGTTTTAGTAAATTTTTTTAAATAATTAATAATTTTGTCATTTTTATGAGTCTTTTATTTATATATATTATTCATTATTTTTATAGTTTTATTTTATTTATTTTATTTAGTTTTATTTTACATTTTTCTGAAATATTTTTAAATTATTTTTAAAATATGTTTTATTTCCGTCAATGTTTATTTTATTTTAGGTAATGAAAATGTTTCTTATGGTTTTAGTTTTAGTTAACTCTAATAATCCTGGCTTGGAGAGTTTCTCTCATCATTTTTACATGACATTTATGTTTTATATTGTAATTTTAGTTTAGTTTTTTGTTTTTAAATGTGTCTATATAGTTTTTAGTCATTTTTATGTATTAGTATTAGTCTATAATGTTAGTCTATTTATTTATTTTTATTTAGGTTTAGTTTACGTTGGCACTTGGCAAGTTGTGACCATTTTTTCATATGTCTATACAGTTTTAATTATTTTTATTTATGTATTTATTATTATCTATTTAGTCTTAGTTTACATTGATACTTTAATTTAAATGAAGTGAAAAGAGAAATGTTGCCTTGGGATTTTGTGTAATTTGTTTTATATACATATATTTTATATTTATATGAATTTTATATCAGTTAATGTCTATTTAATTTCAAGTAATGTTGTAATGATTTTAGTTTAAATTAACCTTGGCTTGGAGAGTTTCTCTCACATTTATATGACACTTTCAGTCTGACATTGAAGAAGTGCAATTATTCTCCGACTCTTAACATGAGGATCTTGGATTGCAAGGCCTTCAGAAGAAGCCTGTTGTGATGCTCTCTGGTGATTTGACTGAGCTCTGCTCCTCAGATCGTGTTTTACGAGGGCCGCTGCTTCACCGGCCGCCGGCTGGAGGTCTACGGTGACTGTGATAACTTCCAGGACCGCGGCTTCATGAACCGAGTGAACTCCATCCGCGTGGAGAGCGGCGCCTGGAACTGCTTCGATCATCCGGACTTCAAGGGCCAGCAGTTCATCCTGGAGCGCGGAGAGTATCCCGAGTTTCAGCGCTGGAACTCACACAACGATCACATGGGCTCCTGCAGACCAATCAGGATGGTGAGAACATCTCGAACTCATCTTATCATCTCTAACTCTAGCACATACACACACACACACACACACATATATATATACACACACACATATATATATATACTGATTTCTGAAGATCATGTGACACTGAAGACTGGAGGAATGATGCTGAAAATACAGCTGCGCATCACAGAAATACATTACAGCTTAACAGATATTCACATTAAAAACACATTATAAATTGTAATAATATTTCATAATTTTTACTGTATTTGTGATGCAGCCTTGTTGAGCGGAAGAGACCAATTTTTTAGAAATATATAAAAATTCAATTTTGAATCACTCTTTTACGTTCATTAATTCATTTTAAATGACAAATAAAATAAAACCACAATTTAAAAAAAAAAAATATATATATATATAGAGAGAGAGAGATTTGAAAACTACACACAAAAAAAAATTATTAGATTTAAATTCTAAGAAACATATTCCAATAATCTTTTTTCTTATTCACAACTTGATTTTTATTTTTTTTTAAGTGTCGTGAGAATAAAAAATGTGGACACTGTCGACGTTCACAACGAGTGAATCTTTATTGCATGTTCAACAAACATTATAAACCTGGAACTAAAGAATCAGAGTCCAACTGAAAGAACTGAACCGAATCATGAATCATTAGAGTAGAATCACCATCAAACCAAAAACAAACACGTTCCCTTCAGCGAATCTCTAAATAAAGATAAATCAATTGTTCTGTGACATACACCATCAATCAAGCTTCTAAATATGACTCTAATTATTAACGGCTATTATTATTATTAGCATTGTATAAACCCAAGGTTCTTCTTTGATGGCGTGTTATCTGAAACCAATAAAAGGCACAGGTTCTGATCGCGTTAATGAGCGCTTTATCCGGAGGAGGAGCTCTGTTTCTCCAGACTGGATCTGATCTGCAGCATCAGCTCCTGCTCCTCGTCCAGCTTCAGATCCAGATAATCCTCCTCGTGTCGGGGGATGTCCTCCAGAACCTCGTTCACCAGATCCTCGTCCAGACGACTCCAAGCTGAAGCTGCACACAGACACACACACACACACACCCTCAGATTCCAGATTTTCTAATATTGTCCGATCCTAACAAACCATACATCAATGGAAAGATTATTTATTCAGCTTTCAGAGGATGTAGAAATCTCAATTTAAAAAAATTGACCCTTACGCCCCAGGGTCACATATTAGTCTGTTTTTATTGATCACGTGAGCGGATGGAGGCCTCACCGGTGGAGTCGGAGGAGGTGCTGGGCTCCTCTGAGGAGGAGGATGGAGGTGATGGAGACAGGAGCTCCGGAGGAACCACGCCCTGGTTATCCAGCAGCATCTGAGTGGCCTGAGCCAGATCCTCTCCCATGAGCCTCAGCGCAGAGTCGGCCATGTCCTTCTGAAAGCCCAGCTCCAGCAGCTGCTCAAACACACACAGCATCATCAGCATCATCAGGATCATCTCACACTGGAGTCATGAATAAACACACACAGGAACACACCTGATCCAGGTTACTCTGTCCGTCTGAACTCTGAGCTTCAGCGCCATCCAGCAGAACCTGCAGAACAGCATCACAACCCACTTCAGGTTTCTTCACACTTGGACATTTTTATATATTAAGTGGAGACACTGCAGGCAAAAACACTGTTTTCATGCATCTGTCAAGTTTGAGACTTTGGGCTTTTTGGTTTTTCATAAAGTGTTTTTTCAGACTAGTGGAAAGACATGTTTATTGTATATATTTACATGTGTGTGTGTGTGAGTGTGAGAGAGTGAGTGTGTGTGTGGGACCGTGTAGGCCTTGTCCACGTCTCCTCTGGTCTGATGGAGGGCTCTGGCAGCGTCTCTCTTACTGAAGCCCAGCTCCACCAGTGTGTTGATGTCCTGCAGACGGCGTCTCCTCTTCTCCCGCTCGCGCTCCTTCAGCTCCTTCTTCTCCTGATAAAAGATCAGCTCATGTTTAACTCATGTGTGGAAAGGCTGTGGTGTTTTATGAATATGTTTGCGCTGCAGCACCGTCTTCCTCTGCGAGATGAGCCGCTCTGCCTCCTCCACGTCTCCTCGACAGGCTCTCAGACCCAGACGCGCCTCCTGCTCCGAGAAACCCAGAGTCATCAGCTGGTGCATCTTCTCAGGGTCCAGACACAGCTGACCGAACAGCTCCTCCACCTGACCAACACACACAGACGAGTCAGATTCTACAAGAATCCAACGAGTCATATCTAGAAGAACCAAATGAGTCATACTCTAGAAGAATCCAACGAGTCATATCGAGAAGAATCAAAAGAGTCATACTCTAGAAGAATCAAAGGAGTCATATCTAGAAGAATCAAATGAGTCATATTTAGAAGAATCAAACGAGTCATATCTCTAGAAGAATCAAACGAGTCATATCTAGAAGAATCAAACGAGTCATACTCTAGAAGAATCAAAGGAGTCATATCTACAAGAATCAAAGGAGTCATATCTACAAGAATCAAAGGAGTCATATCTACAAGGAATCAAACGAGTCATATCTAGAAGAATCAAACGAGTCATACTCTAGAAGAATCAAAGGAGTCATATCTACAAGGATCAAAGGAGTCATACTCTAGAAGAATCAAACGAGTCATATCTAGAAGAATCAAAGTAGTCATACTCTAGAAGAATCAAAGGAGTCATATGCTATAAGAATCAAATAAGTCATATTCTAGATTAGAACAATCAAATGAATCAATATGCTATAAGAATCAAACGATTCAACGAGCCATATTATACAAGTATTAAATGAGTCATATTCTATAAGAATCAAACAAGTCACATTCTAAAAATTTAAAGAACTGTATTTTATAAGTATTAAAAGAGACAATCTATAAGAATCAAATGAGTCATATTCTAAAAAACAAGTCATATTTTATACTTCTGAAGCATTTTATTGTTCAACTGAAATGTCTTTCTGTTGTTTAGAAGTAACCTGTAAGAGCCTACATGGACAATTAAATGCATTTAAAATAATGTTACAATGAAAAAAAAAAAGTTTTAAAAATACCTTAATTTTCTTTATGAAAAACATATTTTAAATTTTATATTGACTGTTTATTTATTGGATTTTCAAATTTATTTATTGGTTGGATTTTAAAAATAGCTCATTTTATGAAAAATATATATATTTAAAATTATTTTATATCCATTTTTAATTTATTGGATTTAAAAAAAAAAACATGTATTTATTTTTATTTTATATCTATTGTTTATTTATTGGATTTTTAAATGCATTTATTTATATTGTATTTTATTGTTTATAATTAAACCATTTTTGTTACTACACCTTTATGATTTCTGTATGAACAATTAAATATATTCAATGTTCATGAAAATAAAGTTGCAATGCAAAAATAAATAAATAAATAAACAAGAGTTTCCTATAACAGCTTTTCAAAATTTAGTTTAATGAAAATATACATGTTATATCTTTTTTAACTTACTGAAATTTTTATTATTTTATTTGTTTATTTTATATCTTTTTAGCATTAATGTAAACATACACGTGATGTGGGTTTGATTTCATGAATAAATATGTTGGGCGAATGATTCAAAGATTCACTCCGAATTCTCAAACTCTCACTGGTTTCCATCTCCTGGTGCATCACTGAACAACTGTGAACGAGTCTTTTTGTTGAACAGAATCAAAAGATTCAGATCACTTGGATGAATCTCAATCTGCAGTACTAGCACTTGGTGCTCTTTTGAGTTTGGTAATCAAAGTAAATAAACACAGTAACAGAGACAGAATAATTACAAATGTAAGCATTTACGTTTCTGAGCTTGTTTAACGCTTGGTTCTTCTTGCCATCATGGTAGGCCAGCAGACTCTGGAGCAGATAGAGCCTCAGAAAGAGAACGTCCTCTCCTCCGGTGTGACCCTGAGAGCCAGAAACACATGACATACGTGTGTGTGTGTGTGTGATGTGAAGCTCAGCGTTCAGATGCTCGAGGTGTTGTTCAGACCTTAATCTGCTGCAGACGGCTCTGCTGCTCTCCGTAGCATCTCTTGAAGCACTCCTCGGCTCGTTCCAGACGCTGTCTGGCATCGTTCAGACAGTCGAGCTGCTGCAGAGCCTGATAACACCAAACCACATCCAGCTGCAGCACGGCGTAGTTATCCACCGTCCTCAGCAGCGCCGAGTTACACTTACTGCACAACACACACATAACAAACACAGGAGATGCATTCAATGATCACAGCACAGCACTGGATTAACACTCCACAAGTCTTAAACTAATCAAATCAGTCATAGTCTATTGGAATGAAAGGAGCTGCATTCTACAAGATTCAAATGAGTCGTATTGTATAAGAATCAAATGAGTCATATTCTAAGAACCTAACTAGCTGTATTCTATAAGAACCAAATATGTCATATTTTACAAGAATCAAAGGAGTTGTGTAATATAAGAATCAAATGAGTCATATTCTAAGAATCGAACAAGCCATATTCTACAAGATTCAAACGTGTCATATTCTATAAAATTCAAATTAGTCATATTCTAAGAATCGAACAAGCCATATTCTACAAGATTCAAACGTGTCATATTCTATAAAATTCAAATTAGTCATATTCTAAGAATCGAACAAGCCATATTCTACAAGATTCAAACGTGTCATATTCTATAAAATTCAAATTAGTCATATTCTAAGAATCGAACAAGCCATATTCTACAAGATTCAAACGTGTCATATTCTATAAAATTCAAATTAGTCATATTCTAAGAATCGAACAAGCCATATTCTACAAGATTCAAACGTGTCATATTCTATAAAATTCAAATTAGTCATATTCTAAGAATCGAACAAGCCATATTCTACAAGATTCAAAGGTGTCATATTCTATAAGATTCAAATGAGTCATATTCTAAGAATCGAACAAGCCATATTCTACAAGATTCAAAGGTGTCATTTTCTATAAGAATCAAATGAGTCATATTCTGAGAATCTAACCAGCTTTATTCTATAAGAACCAAATGTGTCATATTCTACAAGAATCAAAGGAGTTGTGTAATATAAGAATCAAATGAGTCATATTCTAAAAATCAAACAAGCCACATTCTACAAGATCCAAAGGTGTCATATTCTATAAGATTCAAATGAGTCATATTCTATAAGAATCAAATGAGTCATATTCTAATAATCTAACCAGCTGTAATATTCTACAAGAATCAAAGGAGTTGAATCAAATGAGTCATATTCTAAGAATCGAACAAGCCGTATTCTACAAGATTCACAGGTGTCGCATTCTATAAGATTTAAATGAGTCGTATTCTATAAGAATCAAATGAGTCATATTCTAAGAATCAAACTAGTTGTATTCTATAAGAATCAAAGGCATCATATTCTGGCGATGTATCCTATAAGATTTAAATGAGTCATATTCTAAGAATCAAACGACTTGCAAAAGAATCAAATGCATTGTATTCTATAAGAAATCAATGAAATGAGTCATATATTATAAGAGTAAAATTATTGATGCTCTAAG